CCTCCTCCTCCTCCTCTTCTTTCTTCCTCCTCCTCTTCCTCCTCCTCCTCTTCTTCTTTCCTCCTCCTCCTCCTCCTCCTCCTCTTCTTCTTCTTCTTCCTCCTCCTCCTCCTCCTCTTCTTCTTCTTTCTTCCTCCTCCTCCTCTTCGTCTTCCTCCTCCTCCTCCATCCTATCATTAACAGCCTTGCTCAGATCTTGCAAACTGAAGGCCGTGGCTTCCTTCATGGAGTCTCAACCAATGCTCCCTCTTAGCTGTGGAGTCTTGTGAGCCAAAATTCTACTTTGTGAGCTACCGGCATTAAAGTTGTGAGCGAGCGATTTGGCTGCTGCGTAAATGAGTTTGCTCCGGAGCCGTCCTTCCCGAGCGAAGACAAAAAAGTGTGAGCCAGAGACTAAAAAACTGAGCTAGCCCACACTAACTCAGCTTAGAGGGAACACTGGTCTCAATCTAGAATTAGGCATGTAGCTGAAAACGATTCAAAGATCTATTCCCAGCGGCCTGCCCAGATTTGTCAAACCGCCCCTTTCGAGCCCTCTGAGCCAGTGGCTCTCACCAGGTCCGTGCATTCCTGAAACAAATGCTCTGTAAAGTATTTTGTCTGACTTGGTCCTGAATCTACTCTTAGGATGTTCAGTGGGTGACCCAATGGTCTAGCATCAGAAAGGGAGAGGTTTCCCCCCTCCATTTTATGGATGTGAAAGTTGGACAGTGGAAACAGCTGACCGGAAGGAAACGGATTCATTTGAAATACGGTGTGGGAGGAGAGTTTTACAGATACCGTGGGTGGCTCAAAAGACAAATAAGTGAGTTCTAGATTAAATCCAGCCTGAACTCTCCCTAGAAGCTAAAATGAATAAGCTCAGGTCATATTATCAGAAAACTGATCCGATCTTTGATGTCAGAGGGATGGAGCCACATTCATAGACACTGGTCTGCACTGAGGCAAATCAGACTGTTGCAACTTAGTCCAAACTTTTGCAGAGACTTAAAAATCTCTAAAATCCAACCCAATAGACCCCTTCAAACCTTTAGAAAAATGCCTACTAATCAACCTCCTTCCATTTCAAAAGAATTTTACAGTATTTAAATTTCAAATAACCCTTTTCTCTATGAAAGAATGGAAGAATCCTTCACTATCCAGTTATGTATAGCTAATACTGAGGCATCTTTATTTAGATTGCTGTCTCAGCTGTGGTTCAGTAACACAATGACAATATTATGGTCCCTTTCCCAGTGCCTGCTGTCCGATAATATTATTGGGCACTGGAGCACCTATATTCACCTGCAATGAGGCATGGGGTTTGATGATATTGTCAACT